AGGAAACAGGAGAACTGGACTCTCCGACTCGTCGCCAACGGCCGCTTGGTTCAAGTTGAAGGTTTCCGGAACCGGCAGGAAGCCTATCTTTGGTCTTCTCTGCCGCGCAAGATTTTCAAGAGCATCGCCCGCATCATTGGTCACCTTCACGCTCCTGCTTTGAAGGATGATTGGGATGAGAAGCGTAAGGGCTTAGACTTGCATCAGATGCCCAAGCACAGCACTGAAGGTGTGCAACCAGGTCGAGAAATTGCTCAAGGAGAACGAGATTCCCCCATTGCCCCCGGTACACCAGAGGAGCCCCCCAAGACCAACCTGGACAAGTCCAACACCAACATCACACCTCCCGTTCCTCGTTCGGGCACACACTCGAAAGTCATGTTCGTGCTTCTCCCTCTGATCCCTCGAAGAGCCAGGCTTCCTCCGCCGACCCCCTGCGCTGCCGACCTGTTTTGGAAGATGAAGCTCCTGGCACAACCGCCAAGAATGAAGTGGAGAAGTGGATCAGGGCCCATGTCAAGGAGAAGAGCCGCGTCACCAAGCTGGTCGAGATCGCCGCTGAGATCGACTCTATTCTCTCCTCCCTGAAGGCCGACAAACTGGACACTCCCAACCTCTGTCGCCTCGTGGGGATGGGACCCCAATCTCGCTACCAAGGCTACACAGAACGTTCTGGTCCGCATGTTGGCAACCGACAACGCCTTGGCTTCCTGATGGTTTCCACATCACCAACTAGCGGAATGTTGTGACCGTGACCATGTCTCAAGGCTCCTACCCACTTTTAGTTCAACACCACCAGTTACTTTGTTTTGTCTCTTCTTCGACTTCTTCAGCTATGTTGAATGGTACTGTACTCTTTCATACTTGGAGCGCCGCCCATTGGTCTTTTTGAAAGGCCAACTTTGCCGCCTGATTCTTGTTCGCACCTTACCCACCAGTTCTCGCCGCACCAATCTTCTTCCGCTTTTGCATCGTCTTCGCCCCAAACAACCACTCTACCTCAACGACTACCTCCACTCCGCTGTGGTCTACATTCCCCCACAACGCGTTGCCTTCTACATTGGCAGCTCTATACACACACTTTTCGATCGCGAGATGTCTCGCGCCCGCAAGTTCAGACAGACACCATCACTACTCGCTCTATGGAGGTCTCTTACCAACGTCACCACCATCCACAACTCAACCATCCTTGAACCAACCCACTTCTTCACCGACTTGGCTTCAACGTCCACAATACACCTTTCCCACCGCCAGAACGGGTCCTATCGGGATCACACGTCTTCATCGACAACAGCGACGCCGCGAACGTTATCACGCACAAGAGTGCCTTCTCCGTCTTCAACTTCTTCGGAGCTCGGACGTAATTCACCTCCTTCATGCATCGTCTCGGTAGCAACACCAAGGAGTTGTTCTACATGCACTTCCCAAACTCTCCGCAGCCATGCCGCTTCTCCAGATGTCCTCTACCTGCTTTGGTCCCAACATATATATTGATGAACCCTGGAGATCACGAGCCTCCGCCCAATTGAAGCTGATTTTCCGTTTCCGCAAGCTGCTCATTCCCCCGGCCCACGCTACACTTCGTCTCCTACAACTATCCCACGATATTCTCCACCACACCCGTCAACATCTACGACATTTTCTTCAACTACACGCTCATCTCTTTCCACCTCTTCAGGCGCCCGCTTCTCCTATTGTCGAGATCAAGTCCCACCCCTGGGACACTACATCTTCAACTTCCGCCAATTCCTTCGACGTTGGGAACCGGAGCTACCTCTAAAGTGCGCCTGCCATGCGAATCGTGCTGATTTTTGGCGACATCCCGACTCCGGTCACGTCATTGGTTTCGCCTCAGATCTCTTTCCGGGACTCATGATCTCCGAGGCCAATCTACAGGACACGATTTGGCCTGAAGAACGGCATTTCTCAACCATTCCATCACTCAACTTGAGAAGTGGTTCCGCTCCTGGCACCGCCCCGCTCACCTGCAGATTGAATGACAAGAATTCTTTCGACGACAATGGCGACACACCTTTCCGTCGCTTTACCAAGAACTTCATCGTCGGCCCCTTTTGGAGGAAGTCTCGTGCGAAACGCTCGTTTTGCAGACTTTGACATGCGAGTTTTTGAGGAAGTCTCGTACGAAACGCTCGTTTTGGAGACTTGACGCGTGACTTTTGGAGGAAGTCTCGTACGAGACGCTCGTTTTGGAGAATTGACGTGACTTTTGGAGGAAGTCTCGTACGAAACGCTTGTCTTGCAGACCCGAAGCGTGACTTTTGGAGGAAGTCTCGTTCGTTTTGGAGTCTTGGAGACTGCACGCGTGACTTTTCGAGGAAGTCTTGTACGAAACGCTCGTTTTGCCGACTCGAGGCGGGACTCGAAGCCTGGTGGAAAGTGCGTTTGCGTGGCGCCGTGCCACTGGGGAGTGCGAAACATGCTGGCGCACTAGAAGCAAACATCGCATGATACTGCGGACGTAATTCCCCCACAAGGTCCGCACTTACTAGAAGCAAACATATCACATCATACCACCGTTCATCCCGCGCACCAGCGACACGCCGCGTTTGCGCGGCGACATGCCTCTGGGGAGCGCGAAACATGCTGGTGTAAACGTGGCGTGTCTGAGCGGGATGATTAGTGGTATCATAGAATATATACGTTTGATTTCTTGTGCGCGGTGGACCGTGTGGCGAAATTACGTTCGTTATGTCGCAGTGCCATGCGGATTTGCGCGGCCTTGGTGTTTGCGTGGAGGCGTGCCACTGGGGAGCGCAAAACATGCTGGGGTAAACGCGGCGTGTCGCCGGTGAGCGGGATGAATATGGCGGTATGATGTGATATGTTTGCTTCTAGTAAGTGGCGGACCGTGTGGGGGAATTACGTCCGCGAGCAATGTCGCAGCGCCATGCGGATTGGCACAGCCTTGGTGGAAAGTGCGTTCTCGCTGCGCCGTGTCACTGGGGAGCGCGAAACATGCTGGCGTAAACGCGGCAGGTCGCTTGTGAGCGACAAGAGCGTATACCACAAGAGTGTCCTACAAGAGTGTCTCACAAGAGTGTCCCACAGGAGTGTCCGACAAGAGTGTCCCATAAAAGTGTCCTACAAGAGTGTCCTACGAGAGTGTCCCACAAGAGTGTCCTACAAGACGGAAGAGTGACCCACAACCGTGTCCTACAAGACTCTCCCACAAGAGTGTCCTACAAGAGTTTCCCACAAGAGTGTCCTACAAGAGTGTCCCACAAGAGTGTCCTACAAGACATGAGAGTGCCCCACAAGAGTTTCCTACACGAGTGACCCAC